TGAGTGCAACGTGGTGTGATGTGACATGACCAGGCGTGAGTGCAACGTGGCGTGATGTAACGTGACCAGGCGTGAGTGCAACGTGGTGTGATGTGACGTGACCAGGCGTGAGTGCAACGTGGCGTGATGTAACGTGACCTTGCGTGAGTGCAACGTGGTGTGATGTAACGTGACCAGGCGTGAGTGCAACGTGGTGTGATGTAACGTGACCAGGCGTGAGTGCAACGTGGCGTGATGTAACATGACCTGGTGTGAGTGCAACGTGGCGTGATGTGACGTGACCAGGTGTGAGTGCAACGTGGTGTGATGTAACGTGACCAGGCGTGAGTGCAACGTGGCGTGATGTAACATGACCTGGCGTGAGTGCAACGTGGCGTGATGTAACGTGACCTGGTGTGAGTGCAACGTGGTGTGATGTAACGTGACCTGGTGTGAGTGCAACGTGGCGTGATGTGACGTGACCAGGTGTGAGTGCAACGTGGCGTGATGTAACGTGACCTGGTGTGAGTGCAACGTGGTGTGATGTAACGTGACCTGGTGTGAGTGCGACGTGATGTGATGTAACATGACCTGGTGTGAGTGCAACGTGGCGTGATGTAACGTGACATGGCGTGAGTGCAACGTGACCTGGTGTGACCAGGTGTGAGTGCAACGTGGTGTGATGTCACGTGACCTGGTGTGAGTCCAACGTGGTGTGATGTAACGTGACCAGGTGTGAGTGCAACGTGGCGTGATGTAACGTGACCTGGTGTGAGTGCAACATGGTGTGATGAGACATGACCTGGTGTGAGTGCAACGTGGTGCAATATGACGTGACCTGGTGTGAGTGCAACGTGGTGTGATGTAACATGACCAGGTGGGAGTGCAACATGGTGTGATGTAACATGACCTGGTGTGATGTAACATGACCTGGTGTGATGTAACATGACCAGGCGTGAGTGAACGTGACCTGGCGTGACGTGACTTTGCGTGTTTGTGAGTGGTGCGATGCAGCACATGCTACCTTTAAGCTAACACGTCTGCCTGCAACACAGTGCTTACAGCGTTACTTCTATTCGACTTACCTTTATTTTACGGTTGAAGACATCTTCGTAAGTCTTCATGGCTTGATCAACGATGTCACGTACGACGGCGGTCGTGTTTGGTGCGTTCTCCACGCTCTCACTGCCATTATGCCGCGTCAACTGATAACACAGAATGGATGCAAAACTTATGTTTGTGCCGCATTAAACAATGAAGGCTTTTCATCACTGGATCAGGATTTCTCAGCAAGCCTGCTCCAAGCGTAGCACTGTGCTAGGACTGTTTAAAGCTACAACTAGAGAACACAGGAAGTATTGAGAATATTGCTGCAGATGTGGTTGAAACGGGTAAGGCTGTTGCTGGAGGTAAATGTTATAATAACTGTTACCAGAGGGCACCACATATGTCATTAAACATCAGATAGTAAAACTATGACTAGCAACGTAATAAGAGAGAGACTAATAAATATACACACAAACATGGCCTCACAGTAAACATGAGATTTAAGTGCACTACGACGATTTGTGGCATGCTATAGGCGCTATATTCTCATAGTTTCATGATAACAGCAAGTTAAATTAAGATGATTGGGAACGATGAACTGAAGTAAAGTCACTCTTGCTTATTGATTAGATTAGCCAGGCTTAATGCGAGATATTTTTACAGACTAATTGCTGTTAATGCGATTAATTAAAAATAAATAAATAAATAAA